ACTCCATCCATAAATAAATTTTACACACTTCAAGAAACTCAGTCTCGATGACTCAAACCATGTGCCTTTCCGTATACTTCTTTTACTGCGGCAAGTTGAAAGGTTGCAGCGCCATTGAATTTCGTCTCCGAAATATAATTTCATTTCATGATTGTTATCACAAATAGCAAAGTTAGGCAAAACGCCTTTCGCTTGAAGGAATCTGACAGATTCTTCCTCTGTCCTGGGCAAATCTCAAATTTTCATTGGTTTTTCATCCATTTTTGACATATTTGTAAAAAGACGTTAATTTAAGAATTTACTATACTTTCATGGCACAACATCTTGATTCGCCTGTTCATATCACGTGATCTCAAATGATCTCATCTCACGTAAACTACGCTACAAAAATCTGATTCTCACAGTAATTATCAACATTAATTTCAAGTTAAATCTTAGTATGGAATAAAAGTTTTAATGCAAGAATTATTTCAATATTATAATTTAAAAAATTCTATGTAACTATATGCCAATATTGAAAGAAACGATCAATCTGATAAAAAAATAGCAGCGACTTGTTTTGAAAATGTGGCGTGAAAGGTTATCAGCGAGAATATTCGGTTTGGCATCGGTTGCACTATTTTCGGCGACTTTATCGCTTGCGCCGGCGGAATGGATATCTGCGCCGGTCAAACAGAAAAGTACCAAATTTTTATTATCGAATTCTACGACTTGAAAGCGATCAGTGGCAACACTTCGAATAAAGCAGATTTTTATCTCCAGCGTGCGCGACTGGCGTCTGATTAAAGTTGTACGAAGATGAGAATGGTCCAAATGCCTTCCCACGAATTTTTGGAATCTGGACATGCCCGCTCTCGAAACTCTACTCCCCACCGTTCCGAAGGAGGTAATGCCACAAATAAACAGACAGACGCGCACAGATTTTAGTAATGTCAAATAGAAACTTAGTTGATTTGAATGTAACCATGATATAAGTCATTCCTATTTTGTTTCTTCTGTTGTTAATTTTCTAACAAAACTCGTGTGCGGACACCGCACGATTTTATTTTTAATCTACATGACCAAGAACATTAGCTAAATAATTATATATATATATATATATATATTACACTACATTTAACTGGGCAGACGGGAAAGTGGTTAGTGACTCTGACTACCGTACCGAAGGGCACGGGCTCAAATCCCCCCGGAGAAGGCATGGATGTAAATTGTCTATCCTTTCATAGGAGGTAACGGTGGCCACCTATTAGGTGCCTCCATAATAACATGACCACCCAAAACCATGCAACTTAAAAATACTTTTTTGATTATTTATTTCATACATCTAATATAGAAAAATAATGAAGAATAAAACCACCGCCTCTTAAAAGCAGAAAAATCATTCTTTTTATTCAGCTCAACATTGAAGTACGATCAACGTTATCTTTTTTTCGAAATTTTTAACATTTTCCGATGGCGCAAGTTGCATTCCTTTTATTTATATTTCTCATTTAGTCAGAAATTTGATATTAGATTAAAATCGTAGGATTATTAAGAATGATAGATTAAATCTTTTGATTTAAAATTCAGTTTTTTTTCTAAAACTATTAAAACTTGAAAAACAATTTTTAAATTCTGAAAAACTTCGTAAATTTTATTTATTTATTTATTTATCCTGTGGTTAAAAATCGAAATTCTGCTGCAAAAAGTAATTTACTCATTAAACGAGGATAAATGAGAAAAATTCAATACCAAATTTTAAAAAATATTTTGGGTGAATATTGTACTGTATGTGCAAAACGAAACTAAGTTAAATAAATTTATGTAGAACTAGAAGCTATTGAAAGTTTTGAGCTAACGAAATAGCTAAAGTTAATGAAATTCATTTAAGGTGTTCTGAAATAAAATATTCAGTCTTAATTACTGTTTAAATTGTTTTTATTGCACTTTTGACTCTATACTTAAATCTTTTTATGACTGTGATAAATTTTACTTTGTCAAATGACTGGTTAAAGGTAATTGCTTTAGAATGATAAGTATTATTCAGCTATTTACAGAAATTCTGTTATCAAAAATAGATTTCGTTAAATAAAAGTTTTCTAAAGAAGCTTATTAGCCTGCAAAATTTATAGCGAACATTTAAAAAGAAATTATTTGCTTTAAAAATGAAAAGCGTTTCAGTGATTGTATTTATAGCATACATTTCAAATGCCGTTTTGGACTTATTATACATAAAAACGTGACAGTTTGTTGAATGAAATCTCGAAACGAAAGCTATGTCCCTATGGAGTATCATACAAATATTTTGAAACTGCGTTATGAAATAGATGGATTTTGTAACAAAGGGCTTTGACAAAATGACAAAAGATGTCATATATTGTATTTGTATACTTTATTCAATTGTAGAGACTTTCGTAAAGATCATTTGACATCAAATGTCTGTTTCCGAGAAAATAACATTAGGAAATATAAAATGAAATGTATAATACTATCATATACGAAGATAAAATTGAAATAATGCTTTTTTTCCAGTAGATGGTATATTGTTATTGATGCAGTAAAAAGAACCAGCAAGAATTCGAAGTTCTTGTACAAGCAGAAAAGAAAATTTTTAAAGTGCATAGACAAAATAAATAAATTCAATTTCCACTTTTTAATTCTTTACTGGAGTAATTACTATGTCGGAAATATATAAATCAATTTAATATTAATACATGAACACTTAATAATTATTGAAATATTATTTGAATCGAGACACTAATAATGCCTAATATAATGTTAACGGGAATTTTAATCCAAAGAACAGTCATGTCTCAATCTTCGGTTTAGTAACTCGTCAAAACTCATATTTTTTTTGTCTTTCAGCAGCCTGATACTTGGCTAGTTAAGCATTCGTTAGTAAATGCCGAACTTACGAACCATTTAGCTGTCTTCTTCTCTAAGAACGTTGCCCAGGCTGCACCATAGGGGACGACTGATTTTACACGTATGTGAAGAGGGACGTGGTGTCCGAAATTTGATGGAGAACACTCCGTGGAACGGACGAGAGGATTTTCTACCCCTCATGAAAGCACGAAAACTATATCGTAACATTAAGAAAAACTCTTGTTGCGTTTTACTTTTGAAATAAGAACACAAGACAAAATACAAAACATGAAGCACTTCCGCCTTTATAATTTTTGATTTTGTTTATTTAGTCATGACAAAGCACTTTTAAGAATACCTGCCTACAGGAAAGCATGCTTTTGTGGAGGACTGATTTAGAAAAATTTACTCATATTCATGTTACGCGGCTGAAAAACTACTAATGCGCATGCAACCAGATCAGTGTCCAGGACCCGCAAACTACCTATATTAGCAGTCTCATTGGCTTGGTTGTTTGAGGACCCTGATAAAGGATGTAATATGTATGTACGATAATTCATCGTATGTTCCTGTACTTTAGGAGAAAAAGAGTCAAAATCTAAAATGTTCGAAATGGAGATAGTTCTTCTTTTAGCACCAGAGATGCTATTAGTCTGTAAACAAATTATTTGACTGAACCAATTTTCAAATTTTTACCACCGAATGATATCGCCATGTATTATTTTTCATGAAATTAAATAATAAAAATTCTGTATGTATGTTTCCCGCGCATTGCTGGAAAACGATGGCACCAACAAGCCACTAAATTTTTCATACACGTCGTTCTCCAACCGAACTTGAGTCACTTGGAAGCCCGAATTTTGAATTTCGAGAGTGAATACTTAGCATGTAAATAAAAGGCTAACAGCATTCCCTCACTGAAACTATGAAATCCCCCCCGGAGTGAAAATTCGTAGTGTAGATTAAATTGTTAAATAAATTAGACTCATAAATATTACTATAACATAATCTATGTTTTCGTATAATATCGTTGCGTGCGTACGGATTCGTAATGGTATGAATACACCCAGAACCGGTGATAGCTTGATAAAATTTATTTTCACAAAAGAAACATTTTACAGTTCTAAAACTTTCCACAAAAAAAAAAAAAAAAAAAAAAATTACAGCTGTTCTCATATCACAGAGTACAATAAGTAGACCGGATGCGGTTACAGTTACATAAAGAGATCAATTATAATTATTCAATTACAGTACAAATTGCAGTTATATACAAGGACCGGAACAAAAGGTCCCCAAGTTTGGCAAATGTTGGAGATTTCTTGCCAAATTTTGTGACAAAACTTAGTCACCGAAAACGTCGCCAGTTTAGCGAAATAGTCATTTAGTACCTTAATGTTAAATAAACTTTCCCTGTAATCTTATTTTTCAGCAGAGCTTTGCTTTCTTCGGACTTTTCATGTTACTTTATACAAAAGATACTGCAATTTCACATATAATTTCTCTAAAATTATCTGCATATATACAAAAATTTGTAACAATAAAAATATTTCTCAGGAAAAGTTGCTTTAAATTTATTTTTGTTATTATGTTTTATAAGGTATTTCTCCCACCTTCTTAGCATGCCTTCGTGGTGTACTGGTCAGTACGCTCGACGCGTATTCGAGAGGTCCGTGGTTAGAGTCCCGGGGAGGGCACTACACATTTTTCATGACTCCTACTTCAAAATAACCTAATGACTCTACAGTGGCGCCCGAACTAAAAGGGTTGTAGATGATTATTCTCTACCACCAGAATTTGGCGATTGCCCCCCCGATCCCCAGTCGCCCTTTAAAAGGGGGAGTATATAAGGTATTTCTCCTGGTTTCTTAGCATGCCCTTGTGGTGTAATGGTCAGCACGTTCGACGCGTATTCGAGAGGTCCATGGTTCGAGTACCGGCGAGGGCAGTGCACATTTTTCATGACTCCTTCTTCAAAATAACCTAATGACTGTACAGTTTTACATTACAAAGATACCAATTTATAACACCTGTCAAGTATTTTAAAATATCAGGCAGGATGTTTGTGTGTCGATAAATGAGCGATTATATTTCAGTTATATGCATCTGCCTAGCAATTTAGTAGACTTTTAATTCATTTCTTTTTTTTTTCTTTCCAGGAAAGGTTTATTCGAGATATGGTATTCTCCAATATGAAAGCCAAGAATCATGAACAGTCGTATTACGATGAAGAGAAATGAAAACTTAAAGAAAAATATGTATGAAAAAGTATCCCATATCCTGCGATATAAAATGTAGAAGACGAAAAGAAAAGCTCTTTTTCGAAGCATATCAAAAATATTAGCATATGTATATTTCAGTCGCTAATAACAAAATAAAATATGAATTTTGGATCTTCAAAATAAGTAATAGATATATTTTAATTTTTTTACTTTAGTAATAATTGGATAAAATAAACGTATGTAATTACCATTTTGTCAAATAGACTCTGTTCCTTCCTTATTTGGTGAAAAAAATCTTTCACTCTTTGAAGACAATAACAATGGGAATCGAAAGTTTCCAATAAACTAATTTAAATTTAAGTTCTCGCCACAATATCAGTTAAATTTTATCATCAATGGTTACGCAATTTCTGTCTTTGAAATGCTAATATATTATTATGTATGTAATGTATGGAAAATGTATTAATATTGAGCAAAATTCATACAGTTTAATATTTAAAAATAATAATAAATTTCTTCATTAAAAAATATGGCTGCATTACAAAAATCTCTTACTAGCCATATAATAACTGGTTTTGTTTATTACTGTTACAGAAACTTAAATTAGATATACAGTGTTTAAGTAACCTCTAACTACAATGTAGATATACAATGTTTAGTAGCCTTGCATAAAGCATACTTGCATAAGGCATACATTATGCCTTATGCAAGGGCTGATTTAAAAAAGAGAGAGTATTAAAGGAGAAGAGACAATACCGAGTCTCCTCTAATACTCTCTCTTTCAACAGATTTTAGTTTATTATTTGTTGTATAAAATGTAAACTTGTGTATTTTAAATCAAGGCCTTTTTTCCCTGAGGGGAAAACTGCAACAGAGAAAAGAACTTAAGGGGACTCATACACCTTAAATCCCTTATGATCTTCGAATATGTGACTGTTGCAAGAATTGGGATATTTTATTTATTTTAAAAGCGATTACTTCAAACCTTTTACAGCTGACTACATAATATAGCTTCTTTGGAAACTAGTAACCAGAAAGTTTGTGTTGCCACAAATATTTTTGTAATTTAACCCGCTTCGTGACAAAAATATTTCGTCGTGTTTCCACCTTGCGCGCATGATATTTTAAAAATGGCTGACGGTACATAATTGAAATTTGTTAGAATTCTTTATATGGCACTATCTTCTAACTGAACCAGAAATCTGATAAATATTTTAATATTAAAAAACTTTATGCTCAAAATCGTTAGAGTTTTTTTTTAATAAAATACATTTTATAAATTCAACTCCAATAAAATAGACATTTAACATGGAATTCTTAGAATTTTTGGTTCACAGTAGTTTCCAAATGTTATGTAAACTATATATTAAATATAAAATTAAATTATGCGACAGAATGTCTTAAACTGTGAGCGAAAGTTGGAAACATGACGAAAACTTTTGTCACAAAGCGGATTAAATTATAAAAATATTTGTGGCAAAGCAAACTTTCTGATTACTATTTCAGAAAGCAACTATATTATTTAGTCAGCTGTTAAAAGTTGGAAGTAATTGCTTTTAAAATAAATAATTATTTCTTGCAGCAGCCACATATTCGAAGATCTTATGGGTTTTAAGGTGTATGAGTCTCCTTAAGAAATCTTGCTGATTTTGTAACAAAGCTTAATTAATTAAATTACATCCCTACGACCAAACGAACGCCATTAGTTTTATTATCAGTTTAATAAAGTATCATCTACAATAATCTAAAGATTCTCATATCATGTGACATCATAAGCTTCGAATGTGATAGTCGCATAATAGCAGAAATTAGTTTTTTTGGGGGGAGGGGGGAGAAAGGCATAAAAAACTGCAATCTAAAATTTTAATTTTTGTACCTACTTCTAATTTCGTATTTTTAAAACCTAGAATTGAAAAATGTTGTTTAAAATTTTACACATTTTTAAATGTTAGGAAAAAATTTATGAGTCCTCATTAAAGTACAAACCCACATACATGCGTCGTTTGCCCTTGCATTACATCAAAGCCTTATTCTTTGAAAGGTTTTATTTTTGGACTTTTTAGTCGATGTGAAGTAATAGCGCAGAACAAGAGCATAGCAATTACTTATAAGTAATTTACAGTACATGCTCATTCCAACTACAGATATCCCTCTTATAACAGGATTTCCTACAACATGGTGCGTACCAACGGTCGAGCCCTAAAGTGGCTGAACAGCTGTAGTTTGGTCTGAAGCCCTATTTCTTGCGAAAGGATTTCATGGACATTATCGTTGTTTTCCCCGTGGGTGAAGTATGTACCAGTCAGCTTCTCCTTCGAAAATTCTCTACGAAAGCAATCCTTTCTCTAACAATCAAATACAACCAAAACTAAACTTAAAACCCGGATTCATTTTAGCACGTTATAATATGCGTAAAACCTTATGTACGTACATATTTCCATATAACACGATTTTTATTTTAAACATTTACAAAATTAAGTTACGTACAATGACACTGTGCATAAATAACAATAACAACATCCATTTATACACACAGAAGTAAAATAAATTACTGGAATACTTGCATTATTTTACATCGAAATTCTTTTGAAAAACAAAATTGAGTCGAACCTGTCCTTTATACATTGTGCTCCAAATATTCAGTTGGTAGCTTACATAAATTACGTAACTGTGATTTCAAAGAGACTTTTTAAGAAATCTTTGGATATTGGTTGTTTATTTGCTTCGTCGTTTTTAGGAGTAGCTATTGCAAAATTATATTTCACTCCAAAACTATATCTGAAAGTAAAAACATAACCTTAAAAAGAAAAGTTATTTCTTTGTAGATTAAAAATATAATTTTTGAGTGTTTGTAAAAGGGAGAAAAGATATCTCAGGTTGAAAAATGTCAAAATTTAATTGAGGCAACAGTGAGAACCATTAAAAATAATATTTTGTTTTTAAAAGATTTCGAAGCACATTTCTCTATTTTGTATTGGTTATTGATGATCATTTTGGTTTGGTTTATTGGATTGGGGCAAAGCATTCAGGGTCTATCTGTTCAAGGGAAGGGATACCTTCGTGGAGGACTTTCTAGGGAAAACTGACTCGTATATACGTTGGACATGGGGAAAACCACGAAAACGCCCATACAGCCAGCCCGTTCGCTGGATTAAAACCCCTGACCGAAGTACCAGTGTTCAGCGATTTTAACCACTCGGCCACTGGTTGGCAAAAATTGACGTTCAAAGGTGAGGTGTTTGAGAAATTAGGGGAAAATGGTACTACTTCCCATTGCAAAGCGATTTTTTTTTTTTTTTTAGTTGTATCATTGGCATTTTCGTTGAGTGTGTTTTGCAGTTGTTCTGCAAATACCTCACCTTTTGTTTCTGACGCAAGGAAATGCGTATTCGAGTTTTCGAGCGTAGTCATCATTTGTGATGATCCGACCTTGAAGGAACTCGCAGTGCCTAATACGAGCCATTCTCCACAACGTAAGCTTCATGGAATGGAATGAGAGGTTTGTAGCCTAGGGAATGTGATCCGTCAGCAACAATCAATGATGTGGCTACTTATTGAGGGTGAATTTGACAAATTCCTCATCATACATCGGGAAAAATTCAGAAACCGTTGCCTTCTGTCGCGGGAGATGAATGATTCTCAAATAGAGAGCTTATAGAATTTCTTCATATAAGTTCGTGAAGCCATTTGCTTGCCTCCAACTTCCACAACTGGTGTAGATGCAAACAAATGCCGTCTTCAGTTACTTTGCACCCTTCTGCCAAGTTCTGTTTGCGTAACAGAGGAATTTTCAACGATTGCGATTGTCTAATCAATATCATTAATGACCGATGGCCTTCCAAAACATGATGCATTATGCAGTGAGTCTTCAACCAAATGAATTTAGGAACCGCTTTTGGCATAACAGTTTGTTAGTGCATAGCTTCCAAATTAATGCTTACTTTACGGCATGCTTTAAGAAACGTTTATGCCGAGTTTCTACGCAAACAATAAAACAAAATTGTCACTCTGTAAGAAGTATTGTTCGGAGTGTTTTTCTGTGCAGTAAAATCTGAATTATTCTCTAAACGTCCCTAGTTTTAAGTCCTCTTATGTATTACTAGATGTACTCAGTATCATCTTTCCGTGTGTATGTACGACCACATCGACCTACTGCAAAAAGCACTAATGAAAAGCGACAGAGCGCTTTTAATTACTTCATACTCAACTTCAAGGAATAGTAAGGATCATAAACGCTGGAATCTTATTCGGGAAAGGCTTGCCCGGCAGCTTTCCTCGCAGCAAAATATATTAGCAAGATTTAAATTTTACATTTAAACATTAGTATGATTAAAATAATTTCAATATTATATTTCACATTTTTTTCTCTTCAGCTCCTATTCAGGATGCTCTCCTTATTGGGCTCTATGCATCTACAGAATTTATATAATTATGACAGTTATGGTTAGGAATTATTTATTTTGAATTAATAAAAGCATCACTGTGATGATTCAAGACTGTTTACACTAAAAGATCAACTCAGTAGTTTATAGAAGAATGGTATTCATTCGATTGATAAATCTCTTTTTATGTCCAAGATTCTGGAATTACTCTCAGACTGCCTCGATTGCTGATATCATTGCATTTCCAGCTACTTCATGAAACCATCAACAATTTTCCAATCAGTCGTTGCCTGAAGCTCTCTTTCTTCGGAAATTGATTTCTATGCCTATAAGTGTTAGTTTAATTGTGAGCAATAGCAATGAGTGCTTCAAGGTAATTTACTAACCACAGGATGGAGAAAACTGAACCATAATGTTTCTCTTTTGTAAAATGAACGATAAAGATTATCATGTGAATCTTCATAAGAATAAAAAACGATAAAAAACGCATACTTATAATATTTTCTGAGAGATTCATATCGTTAGGTCTTGTCGTATCCTAAAACATTTCAATAAAAAATGGTAGAGGTTTTCAAAGGTACCATAAAAAATAAATAGCTCCAAAATTTCTTTAAAGATACAAAGCACAAAAAATTTCTGTTTAAAAATAAACAGAAATGTATTTGATAATGTATTTAATTCGTCTCCAGCAAGTGATTCAAAAGTAGTTTTTTCCCCAGATTTATTTTCTAAAACACATATCAAATACATTTTGTTATCACAAACGTTTTGCAGTGTGACGCTCTTTTTCCTGTTTCCATTCAATCCTCCAAGAAAGAAAAACAAAACAAAACATTTTTTGACAGGATGTTCATTACATATTTACAGA